GCTAGCATGATTAGCATGTTTCTAGCATGTTGTTAGCATTTTGCTAGCACAATTATCATGTTACTAGCCTGTTGTTAGCATGATTAGCATGTTACTAGCAAGATGCTAGCAGGATTAGCATGTTTCTAGCATGATTACATGGTGTTAGCATGTTGCTAGCACCCTAAAATCAGACATCAATGTGCTTAAAGAACATCAGCGTGCACTTAAACATCCACGATCTGACAATGAAACCCAAACCATCCTCTACATTCTTGCCAACATCGTCTTGAGTCAGTCGGGTGAGCCGTGTGAACAAGCAGAAGAGCTTCAGGCCAGGTTACAGAAACTTTGGCTGAGAGAAATGCAAGACAGAAGCCCAGAGTTTTACCTCTTGATTCTTTTGCTCTTTTGGCCCGATGAAGTACAGCCAGGAATCACAAACCATCCAAACCTTGAAAAGTGTGTCCAATACATGGGTCAGTCATATGAGAGAAAGTATCAGAAATACCTCCGCCGTCGCTACCTGGTGCCTCTGTTCTTCTTTGGGAAAGAGAAAGGTTTGCAGAGACTGGTTCATGCATTAAAACTAGATCAAATTGATATGGAGCTCCTCACTGAAGGACATGAGCATGCAGACGTCGAATGTCTTCAGCGTATCAACGGAGAGGTCAAGAATCAAGAAGTGTTTGCTGTTAGAGATGGCCAACAGATTCCAGTCACTCCTCACGATCCGTCTAGTGCGTGCAAACCAGGCCAGGTGTCTTTCTACCTGGGCTTCAATATCAGAGGACCAGTTGCCTACACCATCAGATATGAAGAGAACTGTAAGTACAGCAATACTTTATATTTCAGACTCATGACACACTGTCGTATACGTCAAACATTTATCAGTAGTATTGAGTCAACTGTGTTTTCTTCTCAGTGAAAAATGTAATGTCCTTGTCTCTGCAGAGATCACATGAGAACCGTGTGATTTAGTGCTCGAGCAGGTGACTGTGGGATGCAATGACTCTCCGAAACTCAAATGTCCTCAGACGGCTGATCCAGGACAAATGTTTACATGTCTTCTTAATATTTCTGTTTCTATGTTCTGGAGAAAGAAAGGGGGAAGAAAAGTTGATGATAATTATTAGTTATAAATAGAGTTCAGTCATGGTACATTGGTCACTTATTTTTAGAGGAATGTAGAGAGAGAGAGAGAGAGAGAGAGATAGAGAGAGAGAGTATGTGTGTGTGAGAGAGAGAGAGAGA